TGGAGGAGACACAGAAGACAGCTAGGAAGTGGTAGACGCGCAGCGCCCTGCTAGACTAGCTAGGGTGCGGGCGTTACTGCCCACTCAGTGAGGAACCAGCATCATGTCTTACGCATTGCCAGGTACCACCCACCCTCATCTCACATTCCCCTAAGTAAATTAAATTTTTATTTAAACCTTAGGCATAATTTTAAACTTTTACAATAGTTTTGTTCAGTAATTTATGTAGAACTGAACTTAGGAAAACTCATTAAAGTCAATGTTAACTTATTGTCTTTGGGTCCCTGTGTCGTATAGTAACATAGTTTAATTTTTACACTGACATCAGTGAGGTTAATAAAGGGAAAGCAACATAAAAATAAGTGCAGCAGAGCAAATAAATAATGAATATTTTTGCAATACTATACTGTCTCCCATTTCTGCAGTTTTATTCATTAGTTATTCCCTGGTTCTCTTCTCAGATTGTTTTATGCTAAGACTGGCTTTGACATGATCTGGTAACCCATTCCAGTCCATTATCATTGTATAATCTGTGTGTGAATCCTGGTCAACTAATGTGAGTACAACAAAACTGCATTTACTTTCCTTAGTGTCCTTATTGGCTACCGTTTCCAACCACTGCAAAATTTAGTCGGATATTCTGGACACTGACTAGTAGCAATTTGGTATTTTTATTATAATCAAAAAGAAGCGCTAAGCCACAAGAGCTATACAGCAGCAATTTGGTATACGTAGCAAAGTTTCGCCTGCTGTACTCTATCTGCCACAATAAGCATTTCCAGTTTTTTGTAAGTCATCGTGGACAATAGGTTCTCTAGGACCCAAGGCCAGGATGCATCTCATCACACTCGCTTCAAAAACTATAGTCTGTTTAGAATTATTTTGGGGGGAATTAGGTAAGGGTACCATGAAGAACGAGTATAGTCTACGTGATACTGTATAAGAGCTAGACATGGGGTCTTGTTTGTCTAAGCGTGTAGACACCGCTTCTGTCTATAAATCAGGGGTGACCAATCAGGACGTACGTAATGCGGTGGAGCCGCAGCCAGGGGTGCATGGACGATCCCTAGGATACAACAGCATTCTATAATATTCTTTGGTAAACGAATATTTGATTACCTCTACTTAAAAATTATATGTCAATAAATCATGGGATATATTATGAATTAAGGACAATACATAATTCAGTCAATCTCATGTTCAAGCCAAGTAAGCTTCTGTTTACTCAGAAAGCTGGAGCTCGTTGCTTCAAATTATTCATGAGTTAAAATGCAAAACCAGATGCCTCACTCAACTGTTTATTTCTTTTCCGCTAAGCCTAAGTTATTTACGTGTTTTGTTAACTTCAGCCATGTGGAGAATTTGTTTCTTGTTTCTTCTTCTGAATATATACATTTATTCTTAATGCTGGAGTACTGTCAGCATAGTTGCTGATCCTCCTTTACATGTGTTGTATGCATAGATTAGATGAGCATTATAGTACCGTCCATGTGTTTATATAGAAGATCCCTTAGGCCTGTGACTGTATGACGTCATGGGATGCAGCGAGCGAGTGAGACGAGCTACCTCGGCCTCAGACGACGCATAGGCATCATAGAAGGCAGGACACGGCAGTCTGGGCTCTATCTCCCATTACCACAGTCTGACAATAGTGTTACCATCCAACAAGTGAGTTTACCTTATCCATCAATCTCCTACCGAACCCCCACACGACAATTTGGTGGCAGTGGTGTGGGCGTAAAATTGATAATTACTCCGATGTACGGAGATTTCTTTCGACCAGCAAGACGGTCATTTCGTATCGCCAGTAGGCCGACCTAGCCAGCCAGCTACCTCAAGCCAGCTACCCCAACCAAGCGTCTACCAGCCTCTACAATATTCACTGGTCAGTCTTTGTATTAGTGTTTATCTGGTTATTTGCATCACTCCCGAGGGGTTGACCCGAGTTTGCAAAATAAGCCAATAAGACAGTCTGTGGTGAGGGAATCAGTCCAGCCTAGCCTACTCCATCCAGCTTTGCCTGCCAAGCCAGCTTTCCACCCCTGCTGTGCTCTTCGTTAGAAGTCAAACCATTCTGTGTGAAGGGTTAAGATAAGCTAGCCAGCCAGCAACTAACCCAGGTGTCTTAAACCAGTACTCAAGCAAACCACGTGGGTACAGTCTTCTCATCGCTTTGTGCTTCAAGTTCTAGCCATTCTGAGTGCTTTTTCATCCCTGTGGTGTTGTGGTAATTTGTGGGTTTGTTTTTAAGCCAGTCGGCTTAGAAATATTTTCGCGCCAGTGTGGTTGTCCTCAGTGAGGCTTACGCCGTTCATCCCATAGGCCCAGTTACCACGCGGTCTCGGCCTTAGCCCTGTTTCAGCCCACCCACCCAACCACTCCACACCGGCCCCAGCTGCCTCATTCAGCCATTAACCCACTCGCCCAACCTCTACCATTGTTTTGGTACACTACTACGGGTTCCAGCACCATATTTTAAGGACCACATAGGGGATCAAGAGCTAGATTGTGTTTCGCGCCACCGTTAAAAGCCTCCTGTGTGAAGTCTGTCGTCGATGTAAGCGCAATTCTACGATCACATGTGGACAGCAGCAAGACGAAATAAACACACTACCATCTACCTCATTCTACACCAAGTCGTTACAGCGATAATATTTTTCATAGAGACATTTGCGAATGTTGTGACATTTCTTTTTGTTTCCAGTGATTTTTCTTAGTGACATTAAGTGACTCTCGATTAGACTCAGTGTTTATTATATACTGATTGCAATATTCTTTTTTTGAATATATACATTTATTCTTAATGCTGGAGTACTTTAGTTTTACAAATCTACAATAAACTGTGAATTCAGTATATGTTGGATGTTAATTCAGTCCCTTTTTTGAGGGGCTATTCTAAAATTTAGAGATGGGTTATGAGGGTTAGGATAACAGAAGATGCACAAGCTAACAAAGGTTAGACAACTCTACGATTCATCGTTAACCGGGCTTTTTTTTTCACTTGACATCCAAGGATGAAGGAATAGTCTAAGATATTCTGTGGAAATTACTTTTGAGATGAGTTTCCTCAATACATCGAAACCTTGCAATTATTTCCATTTTTCGGATTGCCTTTTGAGCTAAACACTACGACTTCCACTATTCGTAAGTAAAGCAACAGTTCGTTACCTATTAAGCATTTACTGCGAGACTTTAGTTCCAGTAATAGTACTCTAGATATACCCTGTGAGTATTTTCCTGACATCGTCATCTGCATACAATAGGAGTTTGCGCTTACCACTAATGAGTTTGCTAATTACATAACAGAAGAATACGGGACCCACGATATTCCCAAGTGGAACTCACATGTTGTCGGCAGGGGTTCTGATTCCTTATTATTGACTTTGATAAACTGTTTCCTGCTGTTTAGGAAAGACTTAAAACCAGTCTTCAGATCCTATGCCGATTTCTCGTAGTATTTTACGTAACATGTTATGTCTCACTTTGTCATACTTTTTTGTAGGTCTAACGTAACCATTCCTGTGAAATTTCCTTTGAAGTTTTGAGTTCTTATATAATATACCTGATTAATAAAAGAGGTAACCGTTAAATGAGATTCCAGAAACCTGGTTGGCAACTACGAAGGATGCCAATGTCACTAATGTATTGTAATATACTGCTTTTTCTAGGATTTTGAACCTAAGGCTTAGTATATCATAGATACTGACATCCTATATACCATTTTTCTTGAAGAAAGGAGTAACTCTGGCAGACTGAAGTACATCAGGTACAATATTGGAAGTGATGGATGAATTTATTATAAAAGTTGTGAGTACTTCCAGGTAGGAGGCGCCATCTTCGAGGAATTTAGCAGGAATGTTTTATGGTCTAATGATGACTGTAGTGTAAGCGCGCTTCTGGCAAAAGTGATGGAATGAATAATGGTGAAAGTTTTTCTTTTTTGGGCTAACCTGCCTTGGTGGGAAACGGCCGATGTGTTAATAAATAAAATGATACCTTGATTACTGTAATAGGCTTTAAAATAATTTAAGTCTAAGATGGAGTTGTTTGACTCACCTGACACATCACTGACTCGTGATGATGCAACATTTGTTTAATATGACCCCTCAAGGGAGATTCCTTGACGCCGGTGAGGGGCTCTTGATCTAGGATATTGAATCTGTGCTCCAGTTCTCTGAATTAAGTCTGAATACCCCCCCCCCCCACAGGCGCTGTATAATCCTACTGATGTAGCGCTCCCCCATGATTGTAATAATAATTATGCAATATGAACTGAAATAAATTGATTCTTTTGATGCCCCGTGGCATATCCCGTTATCATTGTTATGCCCTATAAAAAAAAGATCTACTGGTCAATGACCATACCCAAGGACTTTGTAAATGATCCAAGTCAGACCAAAACGTCGTAGAAAGCTTTTCTTTCCTATGTCCGGGTTATTTGTACATTATTAATTGATGCCAGAACTTTCTGTGATTGTTCCCTTATTCTTTATTGTCAACAAGAGCAAATTCTAAGCAGCGCTTGTGGTGCTGGTCAGTTCTTCCTGATAACTAATTTGGCGTTAATAAAAGTTTGTGAGACAGTTGGTGGGAGTTCTGGAGTTTAGTGTTGGCATCGTTGAAATTGTCTCATTAACATGCGTACAGGTGTTCCTTGATGTTTCCTGATGCGTTCCCTGGTGTTCCCTGATGCGTTGCTCCAAAATTCCTGAAGTCTCTCCTTTGTATATTTTGATGCTGGGTTGTACGGTAACGGATTGTCTGAAACCTGGCTGACTATAAGCACTAAGAATCTGTCTCTCCTGCATTTGTTAGTGCAGTGCGCTGACACCGCTCTGTCTTTGTGCCTTTGTGGTGATGAGAAGTGTAACAGGTTATCTTTGTTAGCTTCCTGCAGAACCTGAAATTCAATATACCGTCGTTCCTGACAAGAAGCATGTCAAGAGAAGGGTGGGAACAATCACACTCACTATCCGTAGTCATTTCGAATGACTGTTTTTCAGAGTTGATTTTAATTAAGTGTTCAGCTGTATCAGATCGTCTGGGCATGATAGCTGGTATGTCGTCACTACTAAGGAT